CTATAGTTATATGCCCGTATTTTTTTTTGTTAACTTTATATTGTTTTCTTTTTTATAGTAGTATATTTATTATTAAAGATTTACTCTCTTTTTTAATAATATAAATCAACACTTATTAAGTGTCAAATTTGTTTAAACATGGTAACTTTATTTTGTTTGTAAATTTTATATTAATAAAATATATTATCGAGTTGCTCACGAGCTTATCAAGTCGAGTTAGAGCTTGCTCAACTTGTGCTCGTTAACATCTCGAGTCGAGTCGAATTCGAGTCGAGCTAACTCGAGTCGAGTTTTAAATGAACATTGACCGAGTCGAGTTCGAGTTGCTCACGAGCTGCTCAACTCAATTAGCACCCCTAGTTTGACCATGAGTTTGAGGATGTGAGGATGTGCGGCTGAGCTAAACTGCAATTGTGATTCTAACTTGCGCCATAAGGTTCGCCAAAAGTGGCTCATGAACTTGACATCTCTATCAGAAGTGATGGTCTTCGGTATTCCATGTAGCTGTACAATTTCTCGAAAATAAAGATCAACAATTTGTGTGGCATCATTATTTTTATTGCATGAAACAAAATGAGCCATCTTCGAGAATCGATCAACAACCATGATGGAATCTTTGTTGCGTTGGGTACGGGGCAACCCAACAACAAAATCTATACTAACATCTTCCCAAGGAGCATATGGCACCAGAAATGGCGTGTAAAGACTAGTGTTTTGACCTCTGGCTTTGGCAATATGACATGCTCGACATCGCTTGACATATGGATGTCACAAACCATGTGGGGCCAATATAAATTTTCTTTAACAATGCCTAATGTCTTATCACGACCAAAATGGCCAACAAGACCACTAGCATGACACTCATGTAGTATCATCTCGCGCATGAACATCTTGGCAAGCACAGTTGATTTCCCTTGAATAAGTAGTCATCTTGTCGATGAAACTAACAGTAAGGGCCTCATGAACAATTCTTCCAAATTTCTCCAAAGTCTTCATCATCTTCATATAAGTCTTTGAGGACCTCAAAACCAATGACTTTGACTTGAAGAGTGGAGAGCAAGCCGTGTCTTCTACTTAAGGCATCATCAACCTTGTTTTGTGTCTCGGATTTGTGCTTGAGGACAAAGTGGAAAGGAGATAAGAACTCACTCCATCTTGCATGACACGTAGGAGTTTCTGTTGGCTTTGAAGATGCTTCAGTGACGTAGAGCACACTCTTTAGCCAAAAGATAATGACTCCTATGATCTAAGGCTCGTACTATTGCATAGAAATCATTTTCATATGTTCAGTACTTGCGCCTTGACTCATTGAATTTCTCACTAAAGAAAGCAATTGGTCGTCCCTCTTGGTTGAGGACTGCACCTATACCAATTCTCGAAGCGTCACAATCTACCTTGAAAAGCTTATCAAAATCCGGCAAGGCGAGAATTGGTGCATGGGTGATCATGATCTTCAATTTCTCAAAGCTTTGTTCAGCAGCTGGGTCCACTCAAACTTCTTCTTCAATACTTCAGTGAGCGGGGAGGCAATATTGTTGAAATTTTCGATGAATTGGCGGTAGAAAGATGCTAGACCATGAAAGCTGCGAACATCATGTATTGATTGTGGAACTGTGTTGTTGGCTTCAACCTTGCTAGGATTCATCTCGATCCCATTGCTAGAGACGACATATCCAAGAAATTCCACTTTGTCGATGAGAAAGTGACATTTCTTTAGATTGACATACAACTTTTGTTCACGATGAACTTGGAAAATTTGTTGTAGATGATCCATATGCTCTTCAGAACTTGCCAATGAAAGGGCGGAATACCTAATTCATCGATCGCATAAAGGTACTAGGAGCATTGGAAAGATCGAACGACATGACCATCCACTCATACAATCCATCTCTGGTCTTGAAAGCAGTCTTCCATTCATCTCCAAGTCGCATTCGAATTTGATGATATCCGCTTTGTAGATCAATCTTCGAAAATACAACATCATCATGTAATTGATCAAGTAGATCATCGATGCACGGAATGGGAAAGCGGTATTTGATAGTGATTCGATTGACGGTACGACAATCAATGCGTATGCGCCACGATCCGTCTTTTTTAGCATGGACTTATGCTTTCACGTACCAATCCTTTTTGCATGAGATCAGTGCTTTAGGAAAACCTTTTTTCCAAATGATTTGGGGTTGGCTAACATGAATTGTTACAAGGAACCGTTCGTAAAGGAAAATAAGCATAGCAAAATAATCGATTGAATAAATGTTTGAAAAATAAAATTGTGTTATGAAGAAAGATAAAATCAATCAATTAATCAAACAAAGCCTTAATCCCATAAATGGGGTGGCCTACATGAACCAAAAGTGATTATTTTGTGTAGTCATCGACAAAAAACTTCCTCCTCCATCCCTTACGATCCAATGCCTCATCCTCATACAAATTCATATACTTCATATCCTTTCTAACTCCTTCTAACCAAGTCATTTTTGGTCTCCTTCTCCTTCGTTTAACCCCTCCATGGTCCCACTCTTTCACTCTTCGTATCTGACACCGTACTGGGTAGGGGTCCGATATAATTAGCTAAAACACCACGTCGGTTGGCTACTCCGACGATACAGCTCTACTTATTCCTAGATACAAAAACACCACTAGGATTGAGAGAAAACCTTGGATACAGAAACACCACCGAGGGATTAGGGAGGATGCTCTACCTAAGAACACTCAAAGTGTTTAAAAATATTTCATATGCTGAGTTTCACGGGTTACATCTATGGCTATTTATAGCCTTAATTCAGTACTATTACAACTGTCTAAGTTAAGCTAATTAATGCAAGAACCTAACTATTGTTGAATTTGGATATTGTTGACATGAGCTTCTAGAGGTAGTCAAATTGGAGGGGTTGGCTTCTAGAAAGAGCTATTCAAACCTTGTAGTTACTCGAACTTTTTCAGTACCGGTGCACCCTCGGGTCTCCGTGTTACATGTCCAAACCAACGCAGGCGATTTACCCTTAGTTTGTCTGCCATGCCTGCCACCCCTACTTTCTTGTGAATAACCTCATTTCTGATTCTATCTCTTAGAGTCTTTTCGTATATCCGTAACCTCTATCTTTTTAATGTGTTTCTTCTTAGAAGCCCAACATTCGGTACCATAGACCAACAACACTGGTCTTATGGCAGTAGAATTTCCCCTTCAACAATAGGGAATGCTTCGGTCTCATAACACTTCGGTGGCCGCTCTCCACTTAAGCCACCCGACTTAATCCTGTAGGCCACGTCTCGGTCAATGTCACCATTTTTCTAGATGGTCGACCCAAGATATCTAAAACATTCACTAACGGTCAACTCCTTTCCATCCAAACTTACCACATCATCGCTTGTCCCCCTCTGAGTACCAAAGCGGCATACCAATATTCAGTCTTACTCAAACTTAGCTTAAAGTCTTAAACCTTCTAGATTCCAACCATTGCCTCCATTGCTCCAATCTGGCATTAACCCCATCTTTGGTTTCATTCAACAAAACGATATCATCCGCAAACAGCATACACCATGGAACCTCATCTTGAATTGGGCTGGTTAATTCATCTAGAACCGTTGCAAAGAGAAAAAGGATTTAATGCAGACCCTTGATGCAACCAATTGTAATAGGGAAATCTTTAATCAACCCTCCACATGTCCTCACATCTGATACATTTCCATATTCTTAACCAGGTCCACGTACATTCGTGGGATACCTTTCTCCAACATTGCCCACCAAATTACTACTCTTGGCACCTTGTCATATGCCTTCTCTAAATCGTTAAAGACCATATGAAGATAGAGTATACAAATAAATTTGCGAGAGTTTTAAAAGACTGGTAAGGGGATAAAAAGGAAAGTCTAAACATTAAGATTTGAGAAAACTTTAGCAAAGGAAATAAATAAAGTTTGCAAAATACGAGTTGAGTAAATAATAAAAGTAAATTGTAGTATTAAAAGTAAATGAACAAATAGAGTGTGTGGGTGTGTATATATATATATATATATATATATATATATATATCATGACACATCCTCTACATGAATATTCTCCCTGCATTTCCGCCTTTTCCAACACCATATTTACCTTAATCTCCACAACACTCAAGTCATTCTCAATTACCCTCTTCCAAGTTTTCTTTACCCCTCGCGATCCCAACACTTTGCCACTCTTCAAGCCTCCTTATCAGAGCCTCACTCTTCAAGCCTCCTTATCAGAGCCTCGATCCTTCTTACATGTCAAACCACCTTAGGTGATTCCCCCTCATCCTGTATTCAATGGATGTAACCCTTACTTTCTTCCTTATTATCTCATTCCTCAATTGATCCTTTCTTGTATAGTCGCACACCCATCGCAACATATGTATCTCAACCACGTTCATCTTATACACGTGACAATGCTTTACAACCTACCATTCGGTACCATATAACAATGCAAACTTACTTGCCGTTCACCTTCGGTTTTGTATCCAAGCTTGCATAAAGGTTCCGATTCACCTTCGATTTCGCATCTCATACAATCTTTGCTTCTTTTCTATCTTTTTATACTTCTCATAATTCTCATTACTCCTAAAAATTTCCCTATTATCCTTAGATAATTGGCAATAAAGTTTCAAACTGTATATTTTTTTTATTTGTTTTATGATTACTACAGGACCACTATGCAGATGTACTTGCTTTTCTTGTCTATCTCTGTTAGGACTTTGGGACGTTTTTGTTTAGAAACTGGCTTTTGGCACAATTTTATGATAGTGATCATTATAATCATGGATTGGAACTGTCTTGTCACCATATAGGACACAGTTCCGTCCTATCTTCATAAATCAGCTATTGGATTGCTGAGCTATGTGCATACAACGATGACCACACATGCAAATTGTTTATGATCGTGTGTTATTTAATTTTTTTTTTTTTTTTTTGGGGGGTTGGAAAAAAGGAACAACGGGTGATTCTAATGCCAAACTGTCATGTCTGATGTGAGCTTTCTGCAGGTACATCCTGGTATTGTTGTATTTGGATATGGAGACCCTCTTGATGTTTTGTTTGGGTATTCATCTACAAATGAGGACCCTCATCATATACCTGATGAATCTGGAAACTCAGCCAAAGTGCAGAGTCGCAGTCAAAAAAGGGCCCGCCGTAGTAGGCATAGATTGAGGCATCATCATCAGGAGACATTGGCACTTGGGGGGTAGTTGATCAGATTTTCGCCATCAAGATTGGATGTTGAATAGTGGCCGTCAGTTAAGCAGAAAAGGTGAGGAAGAAATGTCCTGTATGGAGAAAAAACAAGTTTGTATATTATCATTGCATTTATGTTTCTTGGGTATCCCCTTCTTCTCCAGCTGTTTATATCAAAGAGCAACAGTTTTCTTTATTAACATAAACCAACAGAGTAACATGACCAAAAAAAACGGTGATGCTCTGTTTGGGAACACTGTAATTTATGTGAAATCGATTAGCTCGTATCTTTGTGGAATTTGGAGTAGGATTGGTGTTGGTTTATTTATTTATGTATCATTAAGTTTTAGGGTAAGAAGATCTATCCTACCACGTCGGAACCCGAATGGGGTAAGCATGCTAGACTTTTTGAGAGTGACGGGGAAGGATAAGCAATCCCCATTCTTAATGGTGACGGGAATGGGGATATAAACAGCAATCCCCGTCACTCTCAAAAAGTCTAGCATGCTTACCCATACATCCAATCTTGATAAGCAATCCCCATTCTTAATCGTGTCATGCCCCACATCGTTGTGGTAATTGAAGTTTTAGAGTGACGGGGATGTAATTGAAATTTTATATTTATCATGGTATGTTTAATTATTTGATTTTAACATTTTAAAATACTCATTGAGACGAAAGCTGCTTTTACTATATCTTACATATCCAACCCTGGCTACCCCAATGCCCCATACTATTTATATTTCTCTTACACCTTTACAATTTTTTACCTCTCAGTTCCTCTCTTAATTGTTTCACTTTTCCTTACACGTATTTCATGTTATAAAAAATCTAAGAATTTACAATAAGCAAGTTGAATCTTTGAAAACCAAAAGAAGTATGAGATGTATCACTAAAATTTAAAATATAATTATATATTAAAGATTACACATCTAGATTAATTCAATAAATAGCAATATATACTAAATCATGTCCTAATCTCTAAAATTTGCTCTTAGTTAACTAATAAAAAGTCAATGGTTGCAAATTAATATATCCATGTTAGTTAGACACATGTGGACGCAAGAAGGCATTGACTGTAAAGGTTACATTATAGGGAAGTGATCGAGACTTAAACATCAAAATTAACAAGAAAAGGGGTATTTCGATCAATACCAAAAAAAAATAAGAGTAACATTGGTGAGCGGCATAGATGATGAAAAATAACAATTATGTTAGTGAATCGCTTAACATCGCCCGCAAATCTCCACATAAAGCCCACAAATTTGTATTGAAGTGACCTTATTGCCCTTTTCGTTCTTTAAAAAAACTACTCACTACATCTCTCTAAAAGCAGCAAGGAGAGGTGGCGGCGGCGACGGCGGCGGCGGAGGAAAGGCGGCGACTAGGTGGCAAGGTAATTATTTAAATTATTTTTTTTTTTTAAAAAAAAATAAGCGGCGAAGGTGGGGCGCCTGGCCAGGACGCCCACCCACTGGCGGTGGCGCCAGCTCCGGCAGCCAGTGCCGGTGGCGTGGCGTGTGGCTTGGAAGCCCAGCCAACGGTAGAGGCGTCCAAACCAGGCGCCTGCCCACTGGCTATGGCTGCCGGATCTGGCGCCACCGCCAGTGGGTGGGCGTCCTGGCCAGGCGCCCCACTTGCCTTATATTTTTTTTTTTTAATTTTTTTTTTTTGGAAAATCAGAAAATTTGTGTTACTTTTAAATAATTTTGTTTTATGTCTAATTTTTTTTTAATATTTATTAATTTTATGTGTTATTTTTTATAAGTCTAGTATATATATTTTTTATAAAATCAAATAAAAAACATAAATTTCCACATCCTAAATCAAAACATAAATTTGTTAAACATAATTTTTTTTTAAAAAAAAAACATTCCGGATTTTCAATTTTTTTTTTAAAAAAAAAAACAAAAAGAAAAAAAAAAAGGCAAAAAAAATAAAATTAAACGGTAACGGTGGCGTCTGGCAGGTGGCGCTTGGCCTGGATGCATGTGCACTGGTTGAGGCGCCTGGGCTGGACGCCAGTGCACTGGTTGTGGCGTCTGGCATGGACGCCAGTGCACTGGTTGTGGCGCCTTGCCTGGACATCCTTGCCATGGTTCCGGCGTCCAAACTAGGCGCCACCTCGTTTTCCGTTGAAGACGACGTATCTCTGGCGTCCCTCGCCTCTCCGGCCTCCCCTCCAGTCTCCCTGGGCAACCCAGTACGACTCCACATTTGTTAGATCGAGATTTGTTCACTTTGGGTACGATTTTAGAAATGGGCAAAATTGTCAAACCATGTCTAATTTGTGGGCTTTATGTGGAGATTTGCGGGCGATGTTTAACAAATCCCTTATGTTATGGCACTTCTACTTGTCTTTACCGTCTTCATATTGATGACCACCCTTTTTGTGCCAGCAGTAGCTAAGATCCGTGTTCTATTAGCTTGCCCTCCGGAGTGCCTGCCTCTTTGTTTGCCTATTTGTGCTTGCTCCGAATGAATGTTGAAGAAGAAGAAGAAGAAGAAGAGAGCAGACACTTCTAAACGTGTGTGTGTGTTCAAGTAATACGGCTGCGTTCCTGTGGAAGCAGTAGATTGTATCCATGGTAATATTTGAATGTGTAGGAGTTTGAATAAGGGAGGTTGTTGTTGAATGATTTAGATGTTAGTACTAAGTAGGCATTGCATATTTTAACTAATGTGATTAATCTTGACAATTTCGTTGATAAAATTACTTACCTTATTTTTTTTTTTTTAAATTTTGTATATTACCACCCACTAAATACACCTATTTTGAAATTATCACCCCAAAAAAAAAAAAATTTTAAATTGCCACCCATTTAATTAAAAACTAATTAAATCACCACCTTTTTCATATTTCCAGTCATTTTTCCGGCACTGGGCATCACATAATGACTAATTTGACCCTAGTTTGTATTTTTTTCCTCGATTTAAACTACTCTTCAAACTCCTCCACAATTTCGTCATCAATTACCTCCTAATTCTCACAAATTTTGCAAGGTTGTATTTGAAGAAATCTCCCACACTGTCGGAAAAATGACCAGAAATATGAAAAAGGTGGTGACTTAATTAGTTTTTTAATTTAATGGGTGGTAACTTAAAATAAATTTTTTTTTGGGTGGTAGTTTTGAAATAGGTGTATTTAGTGGGTGGTAAAATACAATTTTTTTTTTCTCTAATTTAATTAATTGTTTAGTTTTGCTATTCATATCTTCTACTTCCACTACATTATTGGAGATAAGTGTGTGAGAAATGAAATAATAATCAAGCTGTGTAATTCTTTATTTTCTCTCACTTTAATACTTCCCTCAATTTTTTTTTCCTTGAGTTGTTTCTTTTATCACGCTTGCCGATGCACAAATTTAACCTTCAATAACTTTATTTCTCTATAAGTCAAGATTATAAAAGTTATATGTTGTGATAGCACTTATTGAGACGTTTCTAACAAGATCTCACATGATATATGTTTTTTCTTGCATATTATTCACAAAACATGGTCAAAGAAGGGTAGTTAATAGTGTTAAAGTCAAGTGGGTCAAGTAATTAAAAAAGTACGGAGGAAATATGTAATTATGTTTTCTGATTAAATATTGTACCACATGCCCCATAACAGCCGTTGTTCAAGTACATGTCATATATGGCAGTAGGTTGTTGTTGTCTTTCAGTCTCGATCACTTAGGAGCAATTTATTGGAGGAATGATGAAGGCAGATTGAATGTTAAGGGTGATTACATATATATTTTTTTGTTGAAATATTAAGGTTGATTACATAATTAGGAGTGAAAATGGTTTAGATTAAAACAAGGTAAAATTGGAAACATAAGTTTTAAATATCTTTAAGCTTATTCTACATTTAGGCAAATTGTTACCTACATTTAATACCTAAATAGATGGAGGTACGTAGTTGGAAGTTGCTTGGAATTTTTGCTAAAACTAATCATGTCAATTATTACACAAGGTCATGCCCATATTGGACAGATGTGGACACAACGTGCATTGACTTCGAAAGTTACAAATCAGAGTATTTAAAAGTATATATAAAGAAACGGAGGAAGTTTTATTTCTATCTAGCTATCTAATTACAAAAAATAATACAGTACAAGAGAGAATTTAGTAATTAATATTGGTGGCCGGAAGATACGATGAAGAGAAACAATTATGTTATGACACTTCTACTAATCATTGCCACCATCATGTTAACCACCATTCTTGTGCCAGTAGAAGCCGAGGATTATTGGAGCTATTCCGATGCATACTACTATTCTGAGGCCGACCTTGACTTGTCTCCTAACAGCCATTCTTAAAGTATATTCCTGGATTTGTTGTCATCAGTTCCTTTGTGTTATTAAATTTCGTGAGATGAATACTACAGAGTTCATCAACTATGTATTGTGTTTGTATTTATTGTTGTGGTGAGAATAATACTACTTCAATTATGGCTGTGGTTTGTGTTGGATTATTGTTGTTGTTTTATCTTCCAGCCTCGAGCACTTAAGGGGAAATTCTAACTGAAAACGGTTTGTGGGGTGTGTTTACATTCATTATCATTATTGGTTTTTATTTAGGAAATTTTTTATTTTACCACCCACTAAATACACCTATTTCGAAATTACCACCTAAATTACCCATTAAATTAAAAAACTAATTAAATTACCACCTTTTTCATATTTTCGGTCATTTTTCCGATAGTGGGTCCCACTTTCTTTCCTCCTGTTTTTTTCTTCTCTTCTCTCGATTTCCCTCTCTTATGATTCTATTGTACTCTACCCTAATCTTCCTCCATTAAATTTCTTCTTCTTTCCCTATAAATTCACTGTCAAATCATCAACCTCCCCACCAATACTGAAAGTAAACTATTAATTTTTTTTTTCCTGAAAAAGGGGAGCGAGGAAGGAGAAGTTGCCATCGTTGGTAGTTGATAGGGGACCAGAAGGTGGGTATTTTTGCTTATTAAAACGCATATAAATACATTAATCATCACTTTTTTAAAGACGATTGCACAACAATAACTGCGAAGAACCCTAATTTCATAAAAACCCCCAATTCATTAGAAGCATGAACCCTAATTTCAAAAAACCTCCTATTCAATTGAAGTAGGAACCCTAATTCAAAAAACCCCCAATTCAATTGAAGCAGGAACCTTAATTTCGAAAAAACTCCCCAATTTAATTGAACCAAGAACCCTACTATCAGAGAACCCCTAATTTGATTGTGTGTAGAACCCTAATTTAACAAAGAATTGAGCTTATGTGATTGTGAAAGGAGTGTCTGCCCTTGTGTGGGATATTTCTTCAAATAAAACCTTGCAAAATTTGTGAGAATTTG